TAAAGCAACTTTAAGCTTCGCCATGGCAGCCAGAAATTCTCTAAGACTGGAAGCATTAGGTCCTTCTCTGAAAGTTCGAAATATACTTAATATCTTCTACATTGAAAAAACTAATTTATAATTCAACTATTATTTTCAAAACACTTTAGTTTATTTAATTTCATTCATAAAATAATTTGGAATTCACCAGTCCCCACTCAAGTTCAAAAATACTTTATGCTTCTATTAAATACTCGATTTACTTCATATTTGATCGTTTTCTAAGTCGACTTTATGCTTTTAGACTCATGCACTGAAATACTACCTTATTATGGCTTCTACATCTTTGCTAACATTATAGTAGCTGATCACGTGATCTAGTTCCTCAAGGGTTCGATCTATATTCTCCTGTCTACGCTGTAGGTTCCCAGTCTCCTAACAACAAGGGTATTTAAACATTTACTCAAGATCAGAACTTTTATGTGGATATTGTTGACCTTAAACGCTAGATCTCGATATCAATGGGGGCACTTTTAAATTTAAGGATAAAACCTTGATTCCTCAAATAAAAGTTATCTCTGCAGGGTATAACCATCAGACATCTGATTAAAAGAATGTCCATGAAAGCTCACTTCAATATTTATAAATGGGGGACCCTATAAAGAACGGTTATAGCAAAATAAACTTTAGATCTTTAGTTGACGGTTTCCATGAAATGTAAAGTCGAGCTTTCTGTGTAAATGAGCCTCCGCCAAACAGCACAGCCTTTTTTAAATTTTTAGCGGAGGCTCATGGCGGGGGGATTCCCTCCCTATTTTCACTGTCATATTACCTGATAAACAGGAAGAATAGTTTCCTCTAGTTTACCGAGCCTGGTCTCGAATGAGCTCAATATCTCCAGCATTCCGCTCGTTAATCTCTCTGATTCAGAACATTGATCCTATGTAACCAACGTTTACTTTTAATTTCAAGTAGCAGTTTGATCTTACTCCAGCACTTTCTGACAAAAAATAAATAACTAAATTGGGTCTGCTATTTAATCTGCTAAAGAACAACTAACAGGGTCTGCTACACTAAAATTTTATTAAATCTGCTAAAAAACAACTGGGTCTGCTACACTACAATTTTATTGAATCCCCTAAAAATCCACAAACTGGGTCTACTTCACCAAGGTTTTAATAAATCTACCGCAAAAAAATGGCTACACAAGAATTAGCAGCTACAAATTAACTAAACTGGGTATGCTACGCATAAATTTTTCAAGGCTGCTCTCACAAACCATCTAAGCTGGGGCTTAATTGTTTAATTGGTGTGATTATGTTAATATATCACGGGTGTGATAATTTAAAACATCTCTTTTCTGACTACAATTTTAATAAATCTGTCTCAAAATCATCTAAAATGGGTCTGATACACTTCAATTTTAAGAAATTTGTCACAAACGATCTAAACTGGGTCTGCTACACTTAAAACTAAATTTAGATTAATAGATTCTCAATCAAACTTTTACTTATTTATGATATACTAGGTTGCGAAACTAGCATTGCCTGGATACTAATCTTACTCTAAAATATTCAACCCAATCAACTTAGACCTTTGGAACAAAGCCACGAACATTCCCCTGGCTCAAACCAGTTCCTCGGTGTGTGAGGCAAATCAGTCGAGTTCCTAAGTTTTCATCGGACATACAAACAGATTAATACTTTGTAGCTATCTAGTTTATATATATAAAAGTTGTAATCTCTGTTTGTTTGTCCGATCAAAACTCAGGAACCCTTGGACCGATTTGCCTTAAATTTTGATTGGGAAACTTGGTTTTAAGATTCTTTTTTGAGTGGGTAGACTTAAATGGCGAAAATTCAGTTTCTCGGTAAAATCGTTCAAGTGCGAGTAAACGACGGGAGTAACTTTTAGTAACCTGGGCAGCGCTGGGTTCCCAGACTTGTACATGTATAAAGTTGTAATCTCTGTGTGTCTGTTTGTTTGTCCGATCATAACTCAGGAACTCCTAACCCGATTTGCCTTAAATTTTGATAAGGAAACTCGGGAAGACCACGGGAATGTTCCTAGCTTAGTTTTGAGATTCTAAGTTGAATTCCTAGACAAATTCCCGTAAACGCCCCTGAATAGATGAAACTTGACAATTTTCAAATAAATCAACATTAAAATAAATAAAGGTTTTCCTTTAGCCAGTTCAAATTCTCTTTTTCAACGTGAAGTTTAGATCCAGGACCAACATTGTGCACCCCTCCACTGGAGTGTTTGGACATGTAGTCCATCTGAAAAACTGAATGAAGATAAACAAAATATAATTTTTTTAAAATAAAATATTAAATTATCATAACACATAATATTGATTTTATTTTAAGACCTTGCATCTTTTCCTTCAGGTTTCTTAGGATTGAATTGAGATCTTGTTTGAACCTGTATATTCAGTATTCACACACACACAAATCGTCCGGGGGGGGGGGGGCAGAAGGGGGGTTCTTTTAAAATAATTTTTTCCCCAGATGCTATGTTCGTTGGTTTGAGGGGTTTATTGATGAAAAGGGGAAAATATGTAGGTAAAAAGTATCAAAAAGGATGGAAAAACTTTCCTTTTGAGTCCCACTTTTCCTTTCCCCCCATAGCATCAAAAAAAAATTCCACAAGTGCACAGGGGAAGGGGGGGGGGGAAGGGGCTTCTAAAAAATATATATTCCTGGATTGGAAACCATGCCACCAAATTATACCAAGAAAAGTTGCAAGGTTATAATTTTATCATGTAACAAAAGTTGGGTAAGAAGAGTACAGTACATTCACATCGTAATCATGAGTATTCTTGATTTAAAAACATTCATCTTCTTTTAAACGCAAACATACAGGGTGTCCCGAGACAAATTTTTTGCTCCAGTAGTTCAGCTTTTACAATAAATATTCAGTTCTAATGATATGCTGAAACCTGAACAAAAACTATTTTTTTCAGAACATCTTAGAATAGCAATTTTACTAGGTGACGACGTATAAAAGAGAAAAATGACAAAAATGTGTTGAGAAACATTCAAAATTCTATTTTCTACACGCCAATGGGGGATAATTTGACAATTGTTAAACATCCTGAAGATTGTGAAAACATTATTGCACATTTAATAATTCTATTTTTAGGAATTCATTTCACACTTAGAATAGTTTTTTAACAACCTTTAAATCAATGCCGTATAGGTGGATTAGACCAAAGAATAAATATTTATATTTTGTCCACAACTAAACACTGATCATCCAGTACTTTAACATATCACAAGGGTTTATTATGTATAAGGGGAGGGATAACAAAAAGTTTTATGACTTATATATTTATTATGAAACTTCTTCATAGATCGCAACTCCACTTTAAAAATCTGAAAATAGAGCCTTATTTTCAATTTTCAGTATTGGAAATAAACATACTTTTTTCATTTATTATAAAAGTTAATTCCTAGAGAAGTTTATTTTGTAAATTTAATATTTAGCAGTTTTTATTGTAAAAAACTGAAATTGGAGAACTTGTAAATAAATATTATTAATAATTTACAGAAGAATTTACAATATTGGAGATCTGAACTAACGAAATTAGTTTAACATAAAAATATTTTCTTTCATTAAATATTCGGCCAAACGCCACTGGAAACGTAATTTTTGGTATCGACAAATTATCTTTAAACTATAATTTCGTAAAATCGATTCGGCCAGGTTGCAATCATGTTCGGATAAACGAAACCCTCTAGAAAATGCCCCTAGGTTTCTGACACAGTGTCAAGTGTTGGATTGTTCCCAGTGCAACCTTCTCCATCCTAGTCCTCGATAGATTGGGTTCTCTCCGGACATCTGGTTTGCAACACCTTCATGTTCGGAGTCCTGCAAACCAAATATTCATATTCAAAATTGAGAAGGAAAAAATGGTGCCTTAGCGGTGTTATAGCTAGCTTATCTAGTATAATGAAAAATAATTAAAGGGAAAATATGTCAGTTTTTCAAGTTTTTTAAAAACTATTTTTGATCCTCAACCTCATTCAAAAAAATGAACTTTCCCTCCGATTTAGAGAAAAACGCTTTAATTTAATAAATGAGGATTAGCTTGACAAGTTGACATATATCTTAGAACTTAAAATTGATATGCAAGCCTGGTTTTGACTTTTAATTTGGACAAAATAAATAAGCTATTTAGTAAAATAAATCTCCTAACGATTACCATGCCGAGTGCTGAGCATAATAAATTAAGGACTTTAATGGGAACAAAATACTTAATGCTCATAGGCATCATATCTTATAATAAAGCTCTTCGCTCATGTATGTTATCTATAGCTGGCCAAACGGCTGCACCAAATGGGTTGAAATTTTTTCAGGAAACCCAAAGGCTAAAAAATCTATTTTTTTTTAATTCAACGGACAACGCCGGTCACTTCAGGTTATTAGATATTTTAAAAAATTAATCAAGGTTTTGAACAGAATATTTTCCTGTTCTTGTCCCCTTCTCCTTCTGCTTCGCAAATGTTGACCACAATACTTGGCGTGGCCACGTTGTTTCCGCAGATAGTAACTAATAGATACAACTTGTAGAATTTAGAAATAAAACTAAAATATTTTCACACCTCAAATTTATAAATAAAACTTGTATATTTTTACCCGTAGAATTTATAATAAAAGTAGAATATTTTCACCCTGTTGAATTCGTATAGTCAGATATTAACCGTGTACTGCATTTAAATGTGTACTGTGTATCCCTGATGTACTCGGATGAAGCATATGCTCTTCTCCAGGAACAAGCTGAGCCATGGCAACCAGCAGATCGTAATCAACTACAGGATTCCCTTCTCTAAATAAATCAATTTGTTAAACAAGAAATATACCATTAGAAGACAATAGATTTATCGATAAATCGACAAGAATTGATTAGATAAACAAATAAACGATCAAAACTCCTCGTAGATCATTTAAATCATTTAACCATACCTCATTCAACAAATTTAATTTAATCTTAAGAATAATAAAACTTCAAGAGAAAGGGATTGAGATTTGTCATGATGGTCAGTTAGATCATACACCTAATACTGTGTTTTGACCAGGGGGCGGAAACGTCATGTGTGTGTGTCTGTATCAAAAGAGTGTGTGTGCTCCCATCCAACCAGAGGACTACAAGGAGGAGAGATAAGTTGTACTCACCTAGGTTGCTCCCATCCAACCGAAGGACTACAAGGAGTAGAGATAAGTTGTACTCACCTAAGTTGCTCCCATCCAACCGGAGGACTACAAGAAGAGATAAGTTCAACTCACCTAGATTGTTCCAATCCAACCGGAGGACTACAAAGAGGAGAGATAAGTTGTACTCACCTAGGTTGCTCCCATCCAACCAGAGGACTACAAGGAGTAGAGATAAGTTGTACTCACCTAGGTTGCTCCCATCCAACCGGAGGACTACAAGGAGTAGAGATAAGTTGTACTCACCTAGGTTGCTCCCATTCAACCGGAGGACTACAAGGAGAGATAAGTTCAACTCACCTAGATTGTTCCAATCCAACCGGAGGACTACAAAGAGGAGAGATAAGTTGTACTCACCTAGGTTGCTCCCATCCAACCGGAGGACTACAAGGAGAGATAAGTTGTACTCACCTAGGTTGTTCCCATCCAACCGGAGAACTACAAGGAGGAGATATGAATTGTATTCACCTAGGTTGCTCCCATCCAACCGGAGGACTACAAGGAGAGATAAGTTGTACTCACCTAGGTTGCTCCCATCCAACCGGAGGACTACAAGGAGGAGAGATGAATTGTACTCACCTAGGTTGCTCCCATCCAACCGGAGGACTACAAGGAGAGATAAATTATACTCACCTAGGTTGCTCCAATCCAACCGGAGGACTACAAGTAGGAGAGATAAATTATACTCACCTAGGTTGCTCCCATCCAACCGGAGGACTACAAGGAGGAGAGATAAGGAATTGTTTCTCTAAAGGAGGAGGCTGGAGAAAACCTTCCTCTGGGTCAGACGGAGCAAATACCCTGATAAAACAAATATTAGAAAATTCATAAAATTGTAAAGGGACCAAAAATAAATTTGAGCTACGTCGCTGAACTTACCACTGTGTCGGTTCAAATTTGAACCACCGATACAAATTTAAAGATTAAGGAAGGATTTAAATCAGTGATTCAACTTTGAACCGACGGTAGGAAGTTCAAAAGAAGTTGATCTAACTTAAGCTTGGTTACGAGTTAATTGAAGAAAAAGTTGGAAAGCAAACAGATTGTGTGAAGACCCAATTTAAAAAAAAGCGAAACGTTCTTTTAACCAAATAAATGCTGCTCAGTGATAATAGAAAGATATTTACTTAAGAATTTATCTATATAAAAATTCCAAGTATAATTATTGTTTATAAATATTTCTGTTCGAACAATAAAAAAGCTTCGAATATTAGAAAATCTTTCAGCAACAAGGCCCAAAAATATCAATACAATTTGGTTCTTAATTAAGGACCTTTTTTAAGCGTGAGTTAAACATGTCTGAAATTATATCTTTAATTAAAATTGTATTACCTGATGAAATATATATTTATTGTGTGTTCTCCAACTTTACTGAGATCTAGTTTATCTTTAGCTAAGGTAGCGTTAGAGTGAGACATGAAGTCAACCCGCACTCTTCTAAAAATATAGAATTTTGAAGAAAAAAATTAATGGATTTGAGTCCTTTGGATCAAATATATTTTGCTCCCTGGGCCAATGGGCGAAACTTATGGTGTCAAATATATGTTTCAATCCATAGAAAATTTAAAAGTTTTCAAAAATAAATTTTATTTGCCGTTGAGTCCGGTCAGGATTAATTTTATTGAAACCGAATCCAGGATCCAGATCCGGATGGAAATAAAAAACTTGATCCTAAGAATATGAAATAATTCAAATTATCTTTATTTTCCACAATTCAGGAAATAAAACCCTAANCCCCCCCACCTTTCAATTTCCTCCCCTATCGCCTTCTCCCTCCTGGCTTACCTGAATGTTCTAAAGTAGTAGAACATGACTGACTGGTCAAACATTCGAAACTTTGCCTCGAATGATTTCTTGCAGGACTCGTCGACGTACACACTGAGGTCCACGTTGACAACAATTAAAGATTTAGGAGGTGGGTCTTCTTCTTCCTCATCCTCCTTCAACAACAAATAATTAAAACTTAAAAAATGGTTGGTGAGGGGGCGATTCTAGTTGCACATATTAAGTTGATATTTAAAGTTATATATTTTTCTGACTATTTTTCAGACTTATCGTAGAAAGTAACCGTCGAAAGAGAGTGGGGAAAAGCTTTAAAATCATAAAATGCGATATCCAGAAGAGTATTAGTATCAAATTGTAAACTTTTATATTATTTAATGTAATTTTGCTTTAGACAAATATAAATGATGAATATATATCTGTGATTTATAACTTGACGTAATGGTTCTGCTTACAGTGTTATCAAAATAATTTTTTAATACCTGCATCTCGTCTAACTGAAGACCATCTGCAGCCAGTACGAGCATTTCTTCGGCGCTACAATAAAAAGATTTAAAATACGAGTTAATTTTGAAATCAAGTTATTTGGCGTTTTTAACCAACCGGAAATCGTCTAGTATTTGGCTTTAACAAACCTGAAATCGTCTAGTATTTGGCTTTAACCAACCTGAAATCGTCCAATGAATCCCTGTCCATGCTAGATCCCTCAGAGCCAGGAGTTCCAAGCTTGCCTCGCATATTTTAAAACTTTCAGCACCTTAAAGTAAATTTTGAACTTCCAATTATATAATCATATAATCATAAGGGTGCACACAGAAATATAGGGTCCGTCCTAGAGAACGATTTTGGCGGCTTGCAAAGGCTTGGGGGGGCCGAGCGCGGTATATTCCTAGAGAACGATTTTTGGACCCCCCCCCTATCAATTTTGTACATGGGTCTGATAGGAAGTGTCTTAACTTAACCTAACCCGTGCCCGCAGCGCTCGGCCCCCTAGCCTGTCCTAGATGCAGCGCTCGGCCCAGAAAGTGTCTTGACTAACCTAACCCGTGGCCGCAGCGCTCGGCCCCCTAGCCCGTCCTAGCCGCAGCGCTCGGCCCAGAAAGTGTCTTAAACTAACCTAACCCTAAATAACAAAAAAATAAATAATAATAAATTTGCTGAAAAATAAATGGTCATGTACAAAATTGATAGAGGGGGGGGGGGTCCAAAAATCGTTCTCTAGGAAATTACCGAAATATATGCCTAACAAGCAATCGTACACTGGTGATTTCTTAGAGAACGATATTTGGACCCCTCCCTCCCTCCTATCCATTTTGTACGTGACAACTTAATTTTCAGTTTTTAGCGAAATTATTATTACTTATTTTTTTTATTACTAGCCTATCTTCTAAATAAATTTTGAACATGTTCTCTTTGTGTACATCGTAAAACAAAACAAAAATAATTCGCGGATTTTCACAAAAAAATTCGTGGATTTTCAAAATTTTCAAAAATTTAATGAAGATCGAATTTTAATGGAGACAAATATTTGAAATTTTGATCATTCATAAACCTTCCCTGGGGCTCCGTGAGGTCCCACAAAAAAATTTGGGCCCGATCGGTTCAGCCGTTTTGACGTTTATTGGATACAAACAAACAAACACCCAGACAGACAAGCCAAATTTATAAATAGATTTTAGGGTTAGGAACTGGTTAAGACAATTTCTGGGCCGAGCGCTGCGGCTAGGACAGGCTAGTGGGCCGAACACCGCGGCTAGAACAGGATAGGGGGCCGGGCGCTGCGGCCACATGACCAATGATATCCATGCGATACATGAGAACCATGTACAAAATTGAAAGGAGGGTGTGCGGGGGACCAAAAATCGTTGTCTAGGAAATCACCAATGTACGATATGCAGTATGTCAAATAACTTGGGTCCGTCCTAGTATACGATTTTTGGTTAGGTTTAGACAACTTATGGGCCGAGCGCTGCTGATAGGACAAACTAGGGGGCCGATCACTGCGGCCACCCGACCAATAATATCCATGATACATGAGATCAATGTACAAATTGATAGGAGTGGGTCGGGGGTACATATTTTGTTCTCTAAGAAATTACGAATAACTTTCTGAAAATGTAATAGCTCAACTAGTAATATTTTATCCATTAATTAGCATAAATAAAAAACTAAAAAGAAAATATGGAAAAAGTCTGCGAGTCTGTCCTAGTGAACGATTTTTGGATTCCCCCCAGGCCCACTCCCCTCCTATCAATTTTGTACATGACCAAATTAGTATTTATTTAGCATTATTTAGGGTTAGGTTAGGTTAAGACACTTTCTGAGCCGAGCGCTGCGGCCACCGTTTAGGTTAGTTAAGACACTTTCTGGGCCGAGCGCTGCGGCTAGGATGGGCTAGGGGGCTGAGCGCTGCGGCCACGGATTAGGTTAAGTTGAGACACTTTCTGTAAGATCCATGTACAAAATTGATAGGAGGGGGGGGGGGTCCAAAAATCGTTCCTAGGAATATACCAAGTCTGCAATTGCTTAGTTTTATAATAATTAATGCGATGTCTTTTACTCCTAAAATTTAAAAGATATTTTATGTTGCTGTGAAATAAATAAATAAATTGTCGTGGAAAATCTCGGCTTATATCACGTTTCAATTTGCAAAATTATTAAGAGAAGTTACACTCTGTACTACCGATATATTTGTTACTGAAAATACAATTTTTTGAGTTTGACGTCAGATTTGCATCGATAGGCTTTCCTAAAGAAATTTCTGAACCGGACGGTGATTGGCTAATTTCTCCTCGGAGGATGAGAATGGACCAATGGGAAGTCAGAAAACAACATTCTATTACTAAGGAGGATAAGTAGATAGTAGGAATGACGACATTAGGTGAGAAATTCACTTAATTAAACGTCAAAAGAACTCGAAGTTACATATCAACTGGCCTGGCCTATGCAAGGGCGTATACAGGGGGGCAGTCCTCCTAGACCTGTAAATAGTGGGCGTAGCCAGGTATGTTTGTTTCACCATGGTTGCAACCTGGTGTTTTTTATACCTCAAGACTCAGGTGTTTTTAACTTATTTTTGGATTTTAGGCAAAGAAACTTATGAATCACATGATTATCACAGAACAAATCGAGTGCAATTTCAGATGTAATGTGTAAAGGTAGTTTTTTTTGATTTTATGGAAAGAAACTTATGAATCACAGAACAAATCTAGCTGTGTAATTTCAGATGTAATGTGTAAGGTAGTTGGCAGAGTTGGCAACCCTTCGTGATCATGCTGTTCAATCAGTGCAATTTAGAAGATTGTATTCGTGGACCATAGAGACCACGAGCCACATGCCTGACGAGACAGAGAATGACAGAAGTCCGAATGAAAGATCTATTTTATAGAATGCACATTGCATTTTTAGATGCCAAGCCTTCTTGGCTTGGCATGAGCTTGGAGGTACATAAGTAAAAGACCATTTTTAAAAAAAAATTTGAATTTAATTTACTTTATTCATTGCACCGCCGTTTTGTAATCTTTCAATTTTTAAAGTACAGCTGAAGAGCCAAGCGTTGTCCGTGGAATTTAAAAATCGAATTAAAACAAACAAAAAACTTATAATTTATTTAGCAATTGTGTCTTCCCCAAGGGATCCATGAGTGTCCTCACTGACCTCACTATAATTCAGCCCATTTGATTCAGCCGTTTGGCCAGCCATAGCAAACATATAAATGAACGAAGAGCTTTATTATAAAGATCAACATCCATTTTTTACCTACCCCTCCTGAGTTAACCATTATGCCAAAGAATCTGCAGGGGCCCCCGTCCCCCTCCGAGGTGCGGGGGGCTGGATGATTATATTGCCCCCATCCTCTTGAGTACGCTATGAATACGCTGAAATCCTGGGATTGATGACAATAATTTGCTTTTATATTTTTACATCATTGTTAATAAGATTAAGAATATTTTACGTAAGAGCTTGATTCGTGACAATTTCGGGGTTTCCTAGCATCTGAATGGACTGTTAAGGAAAAATGAAAGGGGTTATAGGCTGAAACCTATCTCGTCAAATTGATATAAAACTGTGTCAAAGGACAGCGTTATACCAAAACTGATATATAGGAGATGTGATCTATAGAGTTAAAGTTTTAAACAGATCATATTCAGCAAATACGCAACGAATCTGAAAAATACGACAACGTAGAGGAGCCTAAACAGCTTAGGTACGCTCCTATTATAATTTGAATATATTATACTTTTTTCGTTTATATTAGATTTCATTGAAAATATAATTGATATGTCTGTATCATGAGACCAGAATTTCCACAAATGACAGTGCTGTATCATTGTCACGTGATACAGATATTTTTATGTTTACAATTTAGCATTTATTCTCATATGAAATAATAATACTTGTAAAAACTGAGGAGCTTAAAAACCTTTCCTGGCAAATAAGGGAATGTGCAGCGCAAGACAAAAGCTAATTTTAGATGGAATTAAATTGAACTTTTAAATACGAACTAAATAAAAATTGATATAAAAATAGAGGAGGGGCTTGCTTTAGAAACTTTTTGGAACCCTGCAGTATTATTTAATTTATGAATATTTAGTTGTGGATATTAGCGAGTAAAATATCTATCTATATAAATAGAGTAGAAATCTCTGGGTTTTTTTGGACGTTTTTTTCGGATGTCCGATCATAACTCTGGAACCTCAAATATTAATAGGGGAATTCGGTAGTACCAAGGGAATGTTCTTAGCTTGGTTTTAAAAACCCCGAGTTCAGTGAGTTGATTATTTAGAGAAAGTTTAGTTTCCAGCTGGATATTTATAATTAGAGAAATATAATAATTATTTACTGAAACAAGTTATTTTAAACTGACCTATATAATTATTAGATAGGTTTATCTCTTATCATGAAAACGGATAAACTCTGTGGAGGTGATGTATCAGTATCAGCTGTCTACTTCTATATATCCAGCTCTAGTTTTAGTTCTAGTTCTACTTCTACTTCTAGCCTGTTTCGAGTTCTAGCTTTGATTTAAGTTCTTGTTCTAGTAATAGTTCTTGTTCTTGTTCTTGTTCTTGTTCTAGTTCTAGTTCTAGTTCTAGTTGTTATTCTAGTCCTAGTTCTAGTTCTAGCTCTAGTTCTAGTTCTAGTTCTAGTTCTTATAGTTCTAGTTTTAGTTCTTGTTCATAGTTCTAGTTCCAGTTCTAGTTCTAGTTCTGGTTCTAGTTAGTTCTAGTTCTTAAAGTTATAGTTCTAGTTCTAGCTCTAGTTCTAGTTTTAGCTCTAGTTCTAGCTCTAGCTCTAGTTCTAGTTCTAGTTCTAGTTCTATCTCTACTGTTATCCAAACCTAACGCTAAACTCTAGTGTACAGTAATAAGAATGAACTGGATAAAGGACTGGTGGATTAAATCTTTTTTCCTCTGCTGCTTAGGTATTTATTTTCTATTCTAATTATTGAAAAAATGTGAAAAAATCTTGAAGGTTATTTTCGCAAAAAATGAGAGGGATGCGATCCTGTATTTAAGAAATTTTTTATTTCTTTAAAGAATATTGGTTTAATATTTTCGACGGATCTCAAAAATATTTTTCATGTCCCCAGTCAACAATGATCATAAAAACACAAAACAGATAAAGATATAAGAGTTTATTGAATATGGTTTTAAACTAGTATAAATACATATATATATTATATATGTATACAAACATAGAAACTTATAACATACATGTATATAAATCACATAAAATCTTACCACATACAATATACATGTACATGTGAGTTGTAATTCTTTTAACTTCTGCAAACTGGTGAACAGTCGAAAAAAGTTTTTCCATGATTTGTTAATGAAAAAATATGAAACTATGATTAACTTATGCCCGAATATATTTAAATGTTAATCGTTTTTGTATTTTGAATGATATTTTTTTCGTATTGATAGCTAATGTCTCTCTTTCAGATTTCTAAGAAAGGAAAATTATCTTTAAGAAAATCTCGAAACCTCTTAAAAAATTATAAATTTTATTTTAAAGGAAGGGGGGGGAGATGCAATAATTAAAGGAAGGTGGTGGGAGATTAAAAAACTGAGGGATTCGAGGATATGCATCAATTTTAAGGGGGTTGGAGAAGTAACAATTGAAGGGGGGACGTGGGTGGATGCAACAATTAAAGGGAGGGGGGAAGAAGATGCAGCAGCAAGATAAATTAAAGTTTTTAACTATGCAACTATGCAATTTAACAAACTATCCTTGCAACATCACTAAATCAAACCAATTCCCCACAAATATTTAAATTTGTGCAATTCAATATCATTTCAAGGAATTGTTGTGCAAATTCCATTTTATTGAGAGTGGAAACAAAGTGGAGTTTTAGGTCAAGATTTAAATATAATTCCCCGCGGACCTGCTTTCTAAACCAAAAATTTCAAAAGGAAGATTTATGAGTTAAAGAAAATTTTCCCAAAAATGAAGTTTACCTGTGATATTATTGGTAAAACTTTAAACCTTATTATTGGTAAAACTTTAAACCTTATTATTGGTAAAACTTTAAACCTAATTTTTTTGACAATTGACTTTTAATTTGACCTGTTCAACAATCTTCAAATTCCAACAAAGGAATTGAGTTTTTGCCACAAACTCAAATCTTCTGATCCCAATATCTTTGCAATCTGATGGTGCAAACCTTTTGTATTGATTTCTTTAGAATGACCGGTTTCAAACTACTCTCACTATATAAACTGTGTTTTCTTTAATTCTTTATTCAGATGGTGTTACTTGGTAGAAGAGAGTTTAGATGTTTAACTGAAATAGATTGAAGTATTATAGCAACAATTGCAATATAACATTGATAGGAACAATTTTTATAATGATTTCATATAATTACTTACACGAATGTCATCAATTAAGAAAGAAATCAAAGTAAGTTTACATCAGCGTCCATGGTTGGTTAAAGCCTTACTGAAGCTATACTTAGGATCCAGGCATACATACGTGCGTGCGCGCAGCAATTGTACATATTATATATAGTAAAATGGGAATAGATCAAATGCCTAATTTCAAAAAACCTTTTATATTTCAAACTTAGATGATTTTATCTATAAGTATTAATAGTTTTAAATATCTAAGGTCTACGACATTAGCTTACAAAGATATAGAAATTAGAAAATCAGAGTTTGTGGCAAAAACTCAATTCCTTTAGAATTTTTTTCTAGAAGTTTTCCTCTAATTACGTAATACAAAACAGTATTTTTCACAAAACTGGAGGTTATGGTTAAAGTCCATGCGGAGTCTTAGTTTTGTATCCATTAAATTTGGAATTTTTGTATTTGCTATTTTACTTTTTTGTTGGGCCATGTTATTTTATAGATTTTCAAGAATATAAGGTCTTTTTTAATTTATTTTAGACAGATTTTGAATAAAAGATCAAAATATTCATTTGTACATTTTTCAAGCTTCTCATATCATTTTGGGTTTGCTCTGACCTACATCCTTCTTAAGACTCGCAGTTAACTTTTGCGTTAAAAAGCAAAATTTAAGATAAAATAATTACGATTTATGTTACAGTTATCAGATTTTTGTAACATTTCTCATATTTTTGTTACAGTTCTCAGATTTTTGTTACATTTCTCAAATTTTTTTACAGTTCTCAGATTTTTGTTACAGTTCTCAGATTTTCGTTACAGTTCTCAGATTTTTGTTACAGTTCTCAGATATTTGTTACAGTTCTCAGATTTTTGTTACAGTTCTCAGATTTTTGTTACAGTTCTCAGATTTATGTTACAGTTCTCAGATCTATGTTACAGTTCTCAGATCTATGTTACAGTTCTCAGATTTTTATGAAGGTCCTCGAAACCCACATACTTAAGTGTTCATAAAGACCAGACATCGGAACTTTTGTGAGGAGCATCGTTAATCTTGAACGCTTGATCTCGATATCCATGTGTGGACACTTTATGGGTGTTTAAGCCTTCTCTGCAAGGTACGATTAGATTATTAGAAGATCTGCATATGATGGAGTTCAACATTGATCCCGGGATTCACAATCCAAATATTCTGACTTTAGATTAAATAGACTTTACCTAACAACTACAAGAGTTCACAGAATTAACACAACATAATAGAATTTAACAAATTAACACAATTAATAGAATAATGTCTTGATCCTCAATCTTATGGTTCGCTGCACGCAGATAAACTTTACAATTGTGTTAGTTCAAGAAACACAAAACTCCATTAATTATTCACGTAAAACTAATCATTCACGTAAAACTAATCATTCACGTAAAACTAATCATTCACATAAATCTAATCATTCATGTAAAACTAATCATTCACGTAAAACTAATCATTCACGTAAAACTAATTATTCATGTAAAACTAATCATTCACGTAAAACTAATTATTCATGTAAAACTGATCATCCATGTAAAACTAATCATTCACATTAAACTAATTGTTAACGTAAAACTAATCATTCACGTAAAACTAATCATTCACGTAAAACTAATTATTCACGTAGAATTAATCATTCATGTAAAACTAATCAATCATGTAAAACTAATCATTCACGTAAATCTAATCATTCACGTAAACTAATCATTCACGTAAAACTAATCATTTACGTAAACTTATCATTCGCGTAAAACTAATCATTCACTTAAAACTAATCATTCATGTAAATCTAATCATTCAAGTAAATCTAATCATTCAAGTAAAACTAAACATTCACGTAAAACTAATCATTCATGTAAAACTAATCATTCACATAAAACTAATCATTCACGTAAAACTAATTATTCATGTAAAACTAATCATTCACGTAAAATTAATCATTCACGTAAAACTAATCATTCACGTAAAACTAATCATTCACGTAAAACTAATCATTCACGTAAAACTAATCATTCACGTAAATTTATCATTCACGTAAAACTAATCCTTCATGTAAAACTAATCATTCGCATAAAACTAATCATTCACTTAAATTAATCATGCATGTAAAACTAATCATTCACGTAAAACTAATCATTCACGTAAAACTAATCATTCATGTAAAACTAATCATTCATGTAAAACTAATCGTTCACGTAAAACTAATCATTCACGTAAAACTAATTATTCACGTAAAACTAATCATTCACGTAAACTAATCATTCACTTAAAACTAATCATTCATTTAGAATTAATCATTCACGTAAAAATAATCATTCATTTAGAACTAATCATTCACGTAAAACTAATCATTCACGTAAAACTAATCATTTAGGGAAACTAATCATTCGCGTAAAACTAATCATTCTCGTAAAATTAATCATTCACGTAAAACTAATCATTCACGTAAAACTAATCATTCATGTAAAACTAATCATTCACGTAAATTTATCATTCACGTAAAACTAATCATTCATGTAAAACTAATCATTCACATAAAACTAATCATTCACTTAAATTAATCATGCATGTAAAACTAATCATTCACGTAAAACTAATCATCCTCGTAAAACTAATCATTCATGAAAAACTAATCATTCATGTAAAACTAATCATTCACGTAAAACTAATTATTCACGTAAAACTAATCATTCACGTAAACTAATCATTCACGTAAAACTAATCATTCATTTAGAATTAATCATTCACATAAAACTAATCATTTAGGTAAACTAATCATTCGCGTAAAACTAATCATTCACGTAAAACTAATCATTCATGTAAAACTAACCATTTACGTAAAACTAATCATTCACGTAAAACTAATCATTCACGTAAAACTAATCATTCACGTAAAACTAATCATTCACGTAAAACTAATCATTCACGTAAAACTAATCGTTCACGTAAAACTAATCGTTCACGTAAAACTAATAATTCACGTAAAACTAATCATTCATTTAAAACTAATAATTCACGTAAAACTAATCATTCATTTAAAACTAACCATTTACGTAAAACTAACTATGAACGATATACATCCTGTTTGTCTCGGCATATTTTCAGTCATATTTAATTATCTCTAATCCAAATCCATCGATAAGAGCTCATAAGATTTTTATACTTTTATGTTTAAAATCTAATCCAACAGAAAAGTATAAAATTGTATAAATAAAAAACCTTTAATCATCATTTAATGGGAGAAAAGGTAAAGTATGGGCAGTAAAGTAAAGGCTCACTAACTTATCCCAGGACTTCTAATTTATTGTGGATTGTACTATAGAGATTTAAACCTTGATTAAACTTGAAGTTAAATAGAATATAAGATTAGGATTTAGTACTCTGTCTTTTCTCTTACGATTTACAAAAAGTAATAATTTCTTTTCTTTCTTACAAATGACAATTTACAAGCAAATTATTTAGCTTCAACGTCATCTCCCGAGCAGGTCACCCAGCTGGATCTTGGTCAACTAGATTGGACACTAACCAGTTCATCAGGCACCAGAAATATTTCTGTTAAGGTTAGATTTTTAAAATTTTTACATTTATAAACATTATAGTTCAAGAGGGATTTTTAAACATTTTAGTGCAAGTAGGAATTTTTAACATTTTAGTTCGAGTAGGATTTATGTACATTTTAGCTCAAGTAGGATTTTTAAACATTAGTTCAAGTAGGATTTATAAACATTATAGTTCAAGTAGGATTTTTTAACATTTCATCTCAAGAAGGATTTATAAACTTTTGTAAGTAAAATTATTAGAATCTAATCTATAACGTAATGGAACTTTGTCAAGGATTTTTAGATCTTATAATTTTTTAAATTCTCAGCTATTTTAAATTTAATGCTGTTCCTTAAAGGCCCCTCAATCCTATGTCCTTTTTTTGAAATCCCTAGGCCTACTTTCTATCCACCTACACTTCGTTTAAAATGCTCTCCTCCACTCTCTCCACCACTTCTCCCCTCTCTCCACCACTTCTCCCCCTCTCTCCACCTCTTCTTCCCTACTGTACACCACTTCTCTCTCTCTCTCTACCCCTTCT